GTCTACGTAGCATTGCACGTGTCTGGTGGGGTAACCGGACTAGCAATGCTGAGTTTAGGCATAGAGTTTTAGGCAGTCGCGGTCGTGCATTAGAGGAAAAGATCGACCTCTATAGATTCCGCTGGTTGGGACATGTGCTGCGCATGTCACCAGATAGGTTGCCACGGCGAACGATGTTTGCCAAGGCCGATAGTGATTGTAAAAAAACGAAGGGCGATCAAGCTAAGACCTGGCATGAGGGTATGAAAACCCTAACCAGGAGACTAGGTCACATAGGCCCCGTTAGGCTCCCTGGCTGGGGACCTCGGGATGATGGTCACCGATGGTTAGCTACACTGAGTGATATGGCTGGGTGTCGCAAACAGTGGCGCTCGTGCGCTCGNTACTTTCCTAACACCACTCTATATGTATTCCCCATCTTCCGCTTGGATTTGCTTCGACATTCCAATCTTGATTTCGCTCTTTTATCCAAATGGGCAACCAAAAGACAGCAACCAAAACCGGCGCACGAAAGTGCATGGTTAATGGTTGTAAAAGCTGAAACTCAAACTGAAACCATTCACGGGTTTCCACCTAGACAAATGAGATTCAAACACCCGATGGAACATATATCAATTGAATACACTGTGAGTAACAAAATACCGCGTTTAGGCAAATAACCAATGCATTCTGTTAATCATTCGCTTGATTTTGATGAGGATTTCCAGCACTTTTAAAATACTTGATAATTAAAACCATTTAAATTAACATAACGATGAAATATATTTGCAACTATTTGCCACAAACTTACCCTTTTTCAGTGATGGATTTCACGAAATTCAAAGCAACCAAATCGTTTAGGACAGTTATTTCTGCCAACGTGGTTACAAAAGGCTACTGTGCGCTTACATATTCGATAAATGGCTATGAATCTTCCAAAAACGGAAACCGACAACCTTACGGAGAACCGTTTATAATAAGAATTCGTCCTGAAACCGGAGCATTATTTAGCAGGGTGAAGGAGGGTTACAAAGTAATAATGGATTATCAAATTTACGGTGACCCAGGATGCGGAACAATGAAGATGTCCCTTGTTCCTTCTGCAACAACCCAAGTCCGGCCAGCCGGATCTGTTGACCGCGAGTTAGATTTTGGTATGTTTCCAATTACCCAACTCAATGAAAAAAGTTCACCACTCTTTTAAAGTTTTCGAGTTTTAAATGCATGCATCAAGTGTCAATAACAATAAATACCATTTTCGACAAGTTCATTTTTGTCTAAAGGAGTTAATTTGGTCGTTCGCTTATTCTCACCAAGAAAAAAACAGATAGTTGGAAGTTAGCTGATCATTTAGGAAACAGTCAGAAATTCATTACCAAACTTTCACTTTCAACGTGACTGAAAAAGAAATACAAAAAGAGTGCCATTACCTAAATGGCAATGTTACACCATTATAATTATCTTCACTAAAAGCTATTCATCATCCACATTATTGTATGCTTAGCATCAACAACAAAATCAGCATCACGACAAAAAAAACAAACCCAATCATCATCGTTGTTGTGATCATCATCATCATCATCATCATCATCATCATCATCATCATCATCATCATCATCATCATCAGCAGCAGCAGCAGCAGCAGCAGCAGCAGCAGCAGCAGCAGCAGCATGATTACTGCTAACAGTTGTGGAATTCAGATTCTGATTCGTATTCTAATAACACCAGTTATTGAATGTTTGATCCTATATGCCAATATTTGTTGGAATTTTTCTCCGCTAACTCTCCTTCTGGCGCTTTTCGTCCGATTTTCATCGACTGCTGCTTGAAATAGCTCTTCTGTGTGCACTTCTCATGTGATGAATGGATTTTAAATCAATCTCTACTTCATGACTTACGTTGTGTCTCCCAACCAAATCAAACTTCAGCATACAAATAAAGTAGAATATTTCCTTCTTTATTAAGATTCATCATAGATCTGATGATCATGTTGAAATTTTGTGTCAATATTCATCATTTACTTCAATTGTTTTAAGTGTTAATCAACTCATTCCAAAGTTTACAAATAACATCATGCGGTCATGCTAGTTTGAACGATTTGTATGTATGAACATCCACTGAGTGAGGCTTGTACGATCCATGGACAGGGAACATGATTCTTCTACATTGAGATGAATTTCGGACTTTTGACGAATAAATCAATTTATTTTACCCTTTGCGTCAAATCTTCTTTCATACCATGCAAATGCGAAAACGTGAAGAACGATATGACCTTGATATCTCGGTGAATAAGTTGCGAAATCAGGCCTACAGCATTCGAGTAAACAATCCAAATCCTTGCGAAATAACAAATTACCGATATTATTTCGGACCGAAAGAAACTGACCCCCCGATGGCAATTTCAAAAACAAATCAATGGGATGTAACAACAAACGAACCATGCTCTCCTTGTCAGATAATCATCATACCAACGCAAAAGCGTGCGCGGATGAACGCATACCATGATGAATTTACCGAAGAAATTGGTGAGTGTAAAACGTTGGAAAGAAAAATGCATAACACAAATGAACGCACAAAAGCTCCGCAAATCAATGGAAAATGGAAAATATAACAAAATATATGAACTCACAAAGATTTTAAGAGTAAAACTGGGAATTACCGCATATTAGTTGGGGTAAAATTAAAAACTATCATAGAGCAATCTGTCATAACAAAATGCACAAACAAACAGACCAGGAAAATTCGAAAAAAAAAGATGCAAGCGAACACTAAAAAAAAGAAGCAGAAAAAATATCACTGAAATAAAACAGAGAATACAAATAGAAAAATACAAATAGCAGAACCACAAAACTACAAGCATAATAGGCATTGGCAAAGAATGAAAAATAATGCAGAAACCACGCCAAAGAAATGAAAAGCAGCATCAGAATGTATTCCATCGTGAACGTTCCTGCGTTTCCAACATCTATGTAGTCTGTTTCCTATTAGAAACAAGCACACCAGTGCTAATCTGGCCAGTGACGGACCATTCACACGTCCAGTAAGAACTCCTATCTCACAGTCCTTTCTCATCGTGTGCTCAACCACACGAGT